TAAGGGGCATTAAATTAAAACTTGTTGGTTTGTTCTTACTTAATCGAATAATTTTTATTTATTTATTTTGTGTGTTTTAGCTCCTGTAAGGTACGCAAGGTTTAAATTTTCTGGCACGGTATTAATAAATGAAAATATATAAAATTTCAAAATGGCGTAAAATTACATGGAGAGAAAAAAAAAATTATTAATTGGAACCGGTGAAAAGTATAAGATTTTTAATAAACAAACGTATAACATTACAATATCGAGGAAACAAACAACAAACAACACGTAGAAAAGGTATTTTCATTTTTACTTCTTTTGCGCGATTTTTTTTTTAAATGAAAAATTTAAAAAAAAACAAAATGGCGGTTTTAAAAAGGAAAAACGTTTGTAGAAGCCATATAACAAAAAATTTTGGATGAGTTTTCTTCTACAATCGTTTATTGTTTGGTTTTGCTTCACGTTTTTTTTCCAGAAATTTTAAATATTTTTTTTTATTTTGTTTACCTTTTAAAAGCGAGCAAACAAACAAACAAACAAACAAACAATCGCAAACAAAATGTCAATTCTTTTTATTATGCAATGAAGTTTGCACAATTGTTTGTTTGTTTGTTAATTCTCGATTGTAATTTTAATGAATTTTTTTTTTTTCGGTTAAAATTTTTCGTTTCCTGATTTTTTATTGTCCCAATAATGAGATCGGAAGCTTTTTTGTATTGGGGAGTGGGGGGCGGGGGCGGAGGGGTCAGACAATACATTATTTCGATCATTTATTTACTAAATAATTATATGACGAGTTTTTTTTTTTACGTCCTAAACAAGTTTTGGTGGGTGTTTGTTTGAAAATGGCAATAAATTGTTCGTTCGAAAAATTATTAATAAAAAAAAAAAAGGAAAAAAAAAAAACTTTATTAACTTTTTTGTTTTACATGATATTGAATAATGATACGCGTTTATTATTATTATTATTATTATTATTATTGTTGTTGTTGTTGTTGTTTTTAAATTATTAATTAAAAAAACAATTATGTTATTCACTTGAGGTTTTAAATAATTTGCCATGACATGACTTGATTCTTCTACTTTATACTATTTCGTGTTCGAAACGAGCTACTGCTGCTGTTGCTGCTGCTGTTGGAAAATTTTGTAAACGGAAAATGTTTAACAAAATTTTTTTAAAATTGAATTAGTGCCCATTTTTTTATGTGTTGCAATTTTAGGTTGCTCGTATTTAATTGCTGTCGAATTTAAAATGTTGGCAGTTTTTTTTTAAATGTATGTTGCATATACTGATTGGTGTCGGAGGAATGGGTTGGTATATTTTAAGCTGCGCAAGCAGTACCGGAAATGACGTCGTTTACACGGCCCATGAATATTCTGTGATTGACTTCATTCGGATCCAATTTTTTATAAATAAAAAGAGGAAGTTTGTCCGTGAGCGTCCACAAACGTCCGGTTCCATCGACTTTAAGATCGTTTGTAAATATCATGGTTTCATTGTCGGATGCGACTTCGACGATATTTTCTTTCACGAGAGGTTTATTCGTGTTCCAACAATTGACTCCATCTTTTTGTATTTGAGTGTAAAACATAACACCCGTGTCTTCGTGTATGTAACTAGCCGTGCTCTGAGAATCAGGTCCTCTATCTCCGACCAATTTATAATCGTAAAAACTGTTTTTACTTACGTCATCGTTTTTAAATACTTCGGTACTCACTAAAAATTCTTTCGTGCTCGACAAGCAGTGAAAATAAGCGTTTCTATATCCGTTTTCCATGGGTTTGGTCAAAGCTATGCTGAAAACACCGTCGGACCATTGAAAATTCACACCGCCGACCATCATATTTCCAGCGAGCGGATCAAAATGAAAATAATTATGTTTTATCCTTCTCGATTTATTATTTGCCAAATCGTAGATGACTATACCATGTGCACCTGGATCTGGCATGTAAGCAAATGCTTTTTCACATTCGTTTGAATTGCTGTCGACTATTATGTTGGCAAAAAGTGAATCAGGTTCAGAATCGGAATCTTGAAATTCGTAAACGTGTAAAAGAGCATCGTTTTGTAAATTGTAAATGAGAATTTTAGGTTTGGTATAAACTCTCGTTTCACCCAATAAATCAGCATTTCCGGTATCCATAACCCAAAGCCTATCGCAATTATCAACGGAAACTCTAAAAACGGATATGATGTTTGTTCTTGCCAATGTATTATTACCGACGTGATTACTTTGAAAATTCGGATACGGTATCAATGGTGGAGATGATGGTGGCATACCGTTGTGAGAATCACTCATTAAATTTTCTATTAAAAAAATAATAATAATAATAATTTACAAACGAACGACGCCATTATAAAATTAATAAATAATATTAATAATAAAACTCACCGTCTAATTTGACGTAATTTAACGTTGAAACGACACCATTTTTCCATCTTGGTATTGTTACGAAAACTTTATCTTTCCACGCGGCTAATCCCAATGGTAGATTATTTTCAGGTACGAATTCTCCACTCGCAATGGCAGCATCCCTTTCTTCTGTATTGTTCCATGCAAAATCGACAACTTTCCAATTGAAAATTTCTTTTAATTTTTCATTTAAACAATTTATCGGCGGTGAAAAAAATGCGACGCACAAAATAATTCCAATCAAAAATTTCATTTTTGACTTTTTGGAAAAAAAAAAAAAATAATAATAATAATATTATTTCCCGTTGTTGTTGTTGTTGTTGTTAAATTTTTCGCACATATGAAAACAAACTCACCTGTACGGATTTGCAACCGGGTCTTGAATATCAGGTAGTTGTTGTTTGTCTAACACTTTTGTATGCTCAGGTTTGGTGGGTATTCAAATAAAACGTCACGATCTGGTTTTAGAAATTAAACGTTTCCCACGGACGTTGACGTAACTCGACCAATAACAAACGTGCATTCGGGATAATTTTTTTTGTTGTTAATAATAATGATAATGATAATAATAATAAATTTTGTTTTGTACCATCATCGTCTTCTCTTCATCGAGGAAATTTTTTTATTTTTATTTTTATTTTTTTGTTCTAAAATTTTATAGTAAAAAAACTACGACGCGTTTGTTACAAAGAAAAATTAATAAATAAATTCTGAGAAATTAATAAGTTATAATAATATTTATTAATAAATTATTATTTGTTTTTAATTAATAAACCGGTTTTATTTTTAATTATTTTTTTGAACTTGAATTTTTTTTTTTTTTTTTTTTTTGCAAAAAGGATTATCGACGCCATTTTATTTTATTTTTTTTTTGGGAAAACAATAATATCGTTAAATAATTTTATGTAATTTTAAATAATAATAATAATAATAAAAACATTTTTAGGTATGACGATATTTATGTTATTATGTTACTGTTATTGTTGTTGTATGTTCGATTCGATTGTATTTTTTTTTTTTATCGAGCTTTTGTGATTTTACAATTTTTTTTTTCCATACAAGGTCAAACCCGTTGGCAATGAACATCAAATATAATTATGAAGAAACCATTAAAAATTTTTTTTTTTTTTATTATTTATTTATTAATATTCATGGAAGTGTCCGAAATTATTATTTGAAAATAATAATGATAATAATGATAATATTAATGATAATAAAATTAGTCACGCGTTAACAATCAAATCCTTTGCCATTTTTTTTTTTTGTTTGTTTGTTTGTTTGTTTGTTTCTTTCCAACTAATTTAATTTTTTTTTCGCGAATTTTAAACTCTTGGAATTATTATTATTATTATTTAAAATGTTTTGGATTAACGAAATTCGATTTGAAAATAATAATAATAATAATAATAATAATAATAATAGTAAGAATTATGTTATGTTAAAAATAATTCCTTCGGAGTAATTTATTTTAGTTTTCACCATCAATTTTTTTTTTTTTTTTCGGGGGAGGGGAGGGGTTTAAAAACATGACCACTCGATTTCGTTATTATTATTATTTGTCGTGGTTATCCAGGAATCGTTCCAGGTTTCACCTAAAACCTTAAATCCTTTTCTCTCTGATGTATGTTGATAATGATATAATTTTGAACTTTTACTAACGTCGTGATTTCTTCCGTTATACTTTTAACAATTATTATTATTATTATTATTATTATTATTATTATTATTATTATTATTATTATTATTATTATTATTATTAGTTAATATTTTTATAGGAGGTTTATATTAAAAGATAACAGGCTCACTATTGGATTTTTATAATTTTTAACTTTCATAAAAAAAAAAAAAATTGAAAACGATTGAGTAAAAAATAAACGTTCCATTGAGTTTACCTTGGGATATGAATTTTTCAAATACGTTTTAATTAAACGAATTATTATTATTATTATTAACCAATGAAAAATTACGTAACATATATATATATATATTATTTTAGTTATTATTATTATTTTTCTGCAATAAAAAGAGAGAGATAGATAGATAATAATAATCATAATTCAATCCCTAAAGGTTATAAAAAAAAAAAAAAGTAATTTAATTAAATTGGAATTTTTTTAAAAAAAGTTCTCCAGCAAATATATAAAAAATTCTTTCTGGAAAATTATTATTATCGTTCGAAACTTTTTTTTTAACCTGTGGGTCGATATATAAAAAAAAATTACGCTATTATTATTATTAATAATAATATTGAGTGTTTAGTCTATGGTAGTGTTTGTAGTTCTCACCTGTCTGTCCTCGTTTTCCTCGCACCACCTGGAATAGATAGATATAAATTTATTATTTAAAAAAAATAATTAATGATAATAATAATAATAATAATAATGATAATAAAAATGTGGTAAATCACGACGCCACGGGATATTTAAATCCTACATAAAAAAAAAAAAAAAAAATTTTATTTCCATTATATATACCATCGAGGTATATTCGTTTATTTAATAAGGAAAAAAACTTAAAAATCAAGTTTTAATATTTGATATTTGAATTATGCCAACAACTTTTATAACAACAACAACCACAACAACCAGACAATTTTAACGAGCCAATAGAAAGTTTTTTTTTAAAGCTCTCACTTCCTACCTGTATTCGTGTGTGTTATTCACACACACACACAACGAGTTTGTAATATTTAAATAATTAATTCAAAAAAAATTTGCAAATTTTCTTTTTAAATATCTTCTATCAATAATAATGATGATGATGATGATGATAATATTTTAATAATAATTATTATTATTAACGTCGCTTCCTATTACTTATTTGTAAATTATCCTTTTGTAAATTCAAACTATAACTTTCGAAATTTCGTAATTTTTTGTTTTGTTTTATTCCCTTCCTCCTTCCCCTCCTCTTTTCCCTTCTTTCCCTCCTACTCTCCTTTTCCCAAACAGGAAAACCTATAGGAAAAGTAAAAAAAAGGGAAAATCTCAATGGAAAATTATCGACGATAAAGTTTTCGATGGGTTTTTTTTATTTATTAAAACGTTTTTATGTAAATTTTTAATAAAATTAATGGATTGTATTAATACTAATGAAAAACTATTATTATTATTATCGTAATATAATTATTACATAATATACTTAAGGTAGAACATAACAAAAAAATTAAACCTGATCCTCCTTATTATTTTTTTTTTTTGTTAATTTTTGATGGTGAGTGTCAAGGAAGAAAACAAACAAACAAAACATAAATCAAATAAATAAATAATTATATAAAACGAGTTTTCTTTATAAAAAAAAAAAAAAAAAAAAAATTCGTACCTGAAAAGGTACATAGGTAGTATAAGAAGGTAGTTCAAGTACAAAATTTGCCCTCGCATGTAAAAAAAAATTTTTTTTTTTTTTTTGCAAATTTTACGACATGTTAATTAATTAATTAAGACGGACATTTATTTATTGTGTTTAAACAAACGTTTGTTTTTTTTTTTGTTATTATTATTATTATTTTATCGAATCGGTTAAATATGGCGATTGTGTGATTATTTATTTATAAATAAAAACAATTATAATAATTTTAATTACGCTATTTGGATTTATTTAATAATACGTCGTTTCCATATAAACAAACATAAAAATTATTTACGTATTTATTTATTATCATCATCATCATCATCATCGTGTTCGCAATAAATTTTTATTTATTGCATTCGAAAAAAAAATAAATGGATATTATTATTATTGTTTATTATTATTATCAT